CTCCTAGCTTTCCTCAGACACAGTATCGTCAGTAAAACTTCACTTATTCTGTATCCTTAGAATAGTCAACATATCTATATCGGTCTCTACCCTTATAAGTCGCGTACTTAATGTATTGTTGTAACTAAGTCTTACATAACGTGGTTGGAGTGAATTGTGATTTATGCTAATTCAGTGCGTGTTACATTGTGATTGGTGAATTCACAATAAAGGTTGATTAAAACAAAGTTAATTGTTGTGTTACGACTCAACTATATTTTATTTCCACCATCCAACCCTAAAAATTACGTGACACTCTCGTCGATACATTGTATATGATCCGGCGAGCAGATAAGACGGACTGCCTGCGACGTTGTAGGACCGCGAGCGACGGTTAGAAAATATAGCCTGTGGTAAGCTTCGTGGCGTAACAATTAACGATCATTAATATTATTATAACATCATAATAATCATTAATATTACGTAACAATAACAAATAATATATGAAAGCAAACACGCTATATATATGACTTATATTTATAGTGATAATATATTTAATAAATTTGTTTTTATGTTTTACATCTTTTATTGAAACGTTATTCGTTGTTACAGCAGAACTCCACTTATTTTATTTTTTTATTTACAAGTTTATTTACAAGTTTATTTACAATCTTCGCATTGAGAATTTTGACTAAGACTGCTCTTATTGGAACGGAATTTGGTTAGTATTCGACTCATTGAATTCCTGTCGATTGAATTCGATTATCTGAAAATGAACTGTACTATATGAAAGGAAAATCATAGCAGAGAGAATTGGTGAACTCCTATTCTATATAAATCGATAAGCTCGGAATTTTACCATACTAAAAATATAAAAAAATGTTCTTTCTTTACAATCACTGACAATTAATATATCTAGCCTCATTACAGGTATAAAGGAATGTAATCATACGTCTGCAACTATTAACACGTTGAAAAACACGCAAGTTTTACAGGAATTGTCCGTGGCGTCACAATGAATTTTTTATTTTGCGATACATATAATGTTGAAATATTGTTAGGTCCCGGGACCTACCAGAAACCATAATCCGTCCCTCGGTCATACTTCCCTTAGACCCATTGTTAGCGACCTGAGATCGAAGTTTGTTATTAATGCATCACGCTATTTCTAATACTGCTGATCTTTGCAATGTTATTCTCACTGACAAAGAGAACTGCTTTATAGGGAATATCTGCGACTCTATAAGAAAATACTAAGAAGTGAATTCAAGGCAGTCGCGATTACAACACGTTCTATAAATTCGAAAATGCCAAACTCGCGGCGTTTTATTTCGACGTTTGTCCCTGTCAATGACTGTAGAAAAAATACTCGCAAAACATCGAAGCCTGCTGGCTCACACGCCATTTATGGCAATTCTCAAGCGTTGACGCCTTCTCGTTTTACAGCCGAAAATGACGAAGGACAGGTGGCTGCCCTAGGCGTTCGAGATTCATATTTTCACATAACATTTATGGACTTGATAGAAACATTAAAGCAATCAAAGAAAGAGAGATAGAGGAGTATTAATTGCGGTTCGAACATTTTTAATAGCTGACGCATTGACAGTGAAGAAAATGGCATTGAACAATTATACGTTAAAGTAAGTCGTCTGATGTTATTTGCATTATTAGATTTGTATACTTACCCCTCTATTTGATGTTTTCTTCGATGATAAATATTATGTGAAAAGGAGAAAAATGTTGACATTACATCCTAATGCGTATGTTTGTATTTTGAGCGATTATAATCCTCCATTTAAGTGGCTCTGTTATCGCGTTTTCTTTTTGACGGCTTCGTTTGCACAAATTAAATTCGATGTCCTATGCGTTTATTTTTATCCGCTTAGTTGATCTCAGGAAATATGTTTCAGATCGCTTAATTTGTTTTCCACTAACTACAATTCAATATCCACACAAAGAGCTTTGGACTCGTTCCTTTTCTTGTAATTAAAACACGATTCGAAAAATCACCCTATATATAAACTCTATATAAACTATATATAAACTCGCCTGAACGCTGATAGAAACACTATCTTTAATCACAGACCAATCTGTGTGCTCAAACTTTCGAAATTCGCGTGTTAACGTTCGCCACTACAAAATGTCACTTGAAGGCTTGTCGAAAATACAGGTTCGTACTCGTTTCCGTTCGCGACACCGCGTTATCTGTTGCTCAAGTACACGCATAGGTCGGGTTCAATTCCTTGTTTTCAACTACATGGGGGACGGCACTTTGTTGCGCAACTTTGAAAGGTTTCGCAGGTAGCAACATAGGCCCAGGTGCTGCATCCTTTCTCTGGAACGCGGTCGGCGGCGTTTTCAACGTCTTTTTGGAGGACGTCGGCTATCGATGCTGAGTGTCTACTTTCCGCTTACGATTGGTTTAGCCCATCTCGTATCCCGTCGCAGTCTTAGTTCCGTCGTCTGATTGCCGTTGAAATTCGGCTTGCCTCTGCTGTTATCTCGTGTATCCGGTCTGCGATCTTGATCACGACGTTTGGGTTCGTTTCGTTCCCGATGGCCAGGATTTGCTGCATGTATATCGGAAGACGGATTTTCCACGCCGCCAGGAGGAAGTCGTTCGGAGTCGAGGGGAAGGCCAGGCTCTTCAATGCCTTATAAAACTGCGACGGCGTCCGATTTCCCATTTGTTCTTTCTCGAATAACCTACACTTTTTCACAGCGTTAAGAATCGTGTAGGGGTCATCAACCTGAGGCGTAAGACGCGAAGGGTGCGAAGGTAGTACCTGGTCAACACTGTCTTTATTAATGTCACTAGCGCGTATTGGCGGAGCCCGTTTTCTGCGTTGCGTTCCCTTATTCAAATGAGCCAGTCTTTTAATAAGTTCGTTCTTCAACAGTTCGTATCGTCCCGTCGCCGGCGGGTTGAGCACTATGTTCTTGACTAGTTTCATGTATCGTTCCTGTAGATTCGCGATGACCATGTTATATTTCATTTCGTCACTCGTGATGCGCGCATTCCTGAACTGCGCTTCTAACACGATAAACCACCCCGTGACGTTTTTCGGCCAAAATAGCGGTAACCAGAGTTTTCTCGGTGCTTTCACAATGTTGATGGCGTTCATCGCACTTTCGAGCTCTTTCCCGCCGGCATTTGCCATCTCGAACATTCGTGATTCGTGGAAATGACGTCTATATGACATTAATACGTCCACCTCCTTCGCTTGAGATCACGCCAAAGTCACCAATTTGAGGCGTAAGACGTAAAAGGAGCCAAAGGAATACTCGGTATATTAATTTTACAGTGTGTTCATTAATGTTACTAACGCTCGAGCTGTTGACCGCACTCACCGTCGCGAGCTTTCTTAGTTTCTCCCTTTTATAGGGTGGCCTCTGGGGTAGGGGAACAGTATTTTCTCTTGCCGAAGACCCTTGCGCTTGTCACACGCTCAAGAAAGATACCCGCTCAAAAACAGTAATCAAGTAGACGAAACATCCTGCATGCCACAGTTATCGAAATAATAACAAAACAGTAACCGAATAACCGCCTCTGATATACATCCGACGATAACCTTTCCAAAGGGATTAAAACATCAATATAGAAACCCTCCTAAATTAGCGCTCAACACATTTTCTTGTAACACTTTGAACCGTCACTCTGTCGAATTTATATAATAAAATTTCCATCATCTTATACGAAATTCAATTTTTTCACCTTATTCGTGAAACGTTCGAACTGCGACGCGAACAGATCACCGGCGATCTATCAGTTTCGTGATTTCTTGTGTCTCCGACGCGAAACGCTCTTCCGTAAGTTCCAAGGTTTTCTTTTTTACGACGTCCTGGCCTCGGACTTCAAGACTGGAACTTTTTTTACGGCCTTGTGCCGCCATTATATTTATATATTCGATAGCAAAGGGCCTATGCCTGTTAAATAAATAAATAGATAGATGAATAAATAAATACTTTAATAATATTTTAACGAGGAGAATACACAAATTTTAATAAAACATCCTAATTACTTTAAACTACAAATATTGTTACATGAATTTTATTCCATTATTATTAGAAATGAGCTAAAAATATGCATAACATTTGAAAAGCTTTTTATATAACTCCACTGAAGCCTTATTTATGACATATTCAAAATAAAAGAATGTAAATTTAAACATTACGTTCGTTGAAACTCTACGAATCCGTTTTCTTCTTTTAGTGCATTTTTGTATTTACTAATTTCATTTAAATAGTTGATTTAGATAAAATAGTTGATGCAACATTTAATATGTCATATATTAATTTAAGATAAATTTTTTTAGTCCTCCAAAGGAAAATCTAAGTAAACTATAACGAAGTTGGCTTATTCGAATACTATACTGTGTTCAGTAATTAGTATAGCCTCAATAGGTTCACCATCATATCTAATTTTTTTTTTTTTATTATTTAATGTATACTTTACAATTTGTCCAGCTGGACATTTGATAAATTTTTCTAACTTAAGCATATCTAATGGTTAGGTAAGATTGCCAATTCGTTTAGAATTAATTTTTCATTTGTTTTATAAAGAAAATTTTAAAAGTGTGCTACTTTAAATTGATATTTACTATTAGAACATAGTATACTAAAACACATAAAATTGGTGTGCATAGAATGTCATTTTTATTACGTAATAATAGTGTAATAATTTTGTCATATAATAAATAAAATAATTACTGCTATTTTTGCTTAATATCATCAATATTTTAGAAAGTTTCCGTTGGCAGTAAATGTATTGCATCTTCCATATACATTTTTGAATTTGTTAAAAATTTTGCTAATACAATAATAATCGATGAACATGTCTCTCATTCCAGTGCTAACGAAAGTTCAAAAAATTTCAATAATTAATATAATATATTTATAAAAGTTCTCTATATTATACGTTCAAATGTTCTTGCTAGTCACTGTATGTAAACAAAATTAATCCACTTTTAACAATAGCTCATAGTTTTTGTCAAAAAAATGTTTTTCTCGGAGAAACAGTTTAGTTGAAAGAGTAGAGCTACAAACTTTCTTTACTTTGGCGAATTAATGTCATTTCAAATTAACCGAATATTGAAATTAAATACTAAAACATTGAAATTAGATATTACATACACAGCAGCCCAGGGCCGTAGAAAAAGTTCCAGCGTTGAACCGAAAAAAATTCAAAACTGAAAGAGATCCATATTATTGCGCCGTTCAATACTAACCTTGTTTTGGGTTACAAGGTCCAAAAACAAAAAAAATTTGAATAGATTGTTATTGTCGTTTCTTGTAATCTTCAGCTAGAGTTACACAAGAAGGTTAACTTTTTATGGTAACGTCTGTCTATATAAACGTATGAACGCGATCCGTATATTTTTTTTGGTATTGTAGCCACTGATAGAGCGACGATTCAAATCAGTATACACTACCTCTGTACTTATACTTATTTCAATATATTTTGCTATTACGAATTCATGCACTCGTTTCTTTATCAAACAAGCATACACATTATTCACCTCATATACATATGTATATATATATTTATATACATATATTTTAAATTGAAAAATAAAATACGCCTATCGTCGAACGTAATCTACGTAACCATCCGGAAAGTAGGATGCAAAGTGGTTTCCGGTATGAATTCTTTATACGGTGCACGTGATCGTGACACTGAAATGAGATTTCCGCTTTAAAAGCCACGTTGACCGGCGGAAAAATTTTGCATTCTGTCCGTACCTTTAACATACAAGTATACCATCAATTGTGAATTTCAAAATTTTCGACTGCCAACTTCGAACGATCAGAATATATGTGCTGAATCGAGTGTATGACAAAGATTAAAAATTCAACAATTTCATCCGGTAAAATTAAACATCTTTCTCGTAGAGGTGTAAAAAAGCTTTTAACAAAAAGAAACGATGCAGAATTCCAAATCGGGTTGAGTCAAATTGATTAGAAGTTCGAGATGGATAATGATGATTTTATATCAGATACACTCGATTAAAAGTATTCAATTACTTGAATATTTAATAGTGTGTTTCTATCATATAATTTTTCAATGCAAATTCTAGTTTATTCTTAAACATTATTTTTTCTATTATCGTCGATTCTATTATCAGAATAAAATATATAAGAATACATAAATAAATTGTAACAGTAAATAATGTAGTATAAATTAATAAATAAAATAAAGAAATAGATAAATATTGTAGAATAATAAGTATTTGTTAAAAATAAATTTGAAATTATTTTCTATGTTAATGATTTACATACAATTTTATACACAATATAGTGTAGATCTAACATATTGTGTATACTTCTGTGATCAACTGAAATTATACAGTGATTAACGAAAGGCAAAAAGGAATTTTATACTTATTTGAAGAAGAATATTATGTGTTTGAAGATGAGGCATCATGGTAAAATATAAAATGTATATTGTAAAATGTGTATTGTAAATGTATATGTATATTATACCTATAAAATTGTGAATGAAATATAAAATAGAAGAATGTAATGGTAAACGTATAAAATAAATAGAAATATGAGTATAAATAATGAATACATGATATTGTATATCATATTAAGAATGGTAATATTTAATGACGAAATGAAGGAGGAACGGCAGAAAGAGATAAAAATAAGAATTTAAAAATTACAGTCTTATATGAAAACGGGAAATGCGAGTTGTCATGTTTTTCACCTATGGCCTTTGATTGATAAAATAATGTAGCAATATAACAATATCCGTTACTGTTGCTAACAATCGGCTACAGTTAATTAACTATTAATTTGACTTGACTGAATATAGAAACCACTTCCTTTTCAAACCTCTTCTACATTGCCTTCCTTAATAAGTTGTACCTCAAATTTGTCTTACGTTACTTCCGTTTCTTTGGCTGCTTTGTCTCGTCAATTAAATTCGCGTTTTTCAGCTACAGCTTTGCAGAAAAACGGGTCAACCAGAAAGTAGCTCACGCTAGAAGCAGAAAGGAGACTACCCAGTGTACAAACACATCTAGGTGTGCGTACAAGAATCGCGGGCCATTCGAGCAAAATAATGGCGCTAGTGGAAGTGCATCGGCTAATTTACGAGTCGACATGGATGAAAACACGAGCTCTCCATTCTACGTATATAAGTACTTACACTATTCATCGTGGAGAAATGGCGTCAGCGGAATACCTCTACGAGGTAGTTCTTTGAATTCTGAATCGAATTCATTCGTCACACGAGTATACCTAGACTTTAGACTAGAGGAATGTGTTCAAATCTTATAATTTTTGTGGCATACGCTACCGTCTATAAGTATCTCGGATATTTCATACAATTCTATAAGAAGACCGATGTATTTGCTATATTTTCAAAGTTATAATTTACGAACGTTACTGTTAACTTTGTATCTTTGAAATAACTAGAATCCGATATCCTGCTCTATCTAAACTAAAACAAGGAATATATCACTCCTTTTATACCACTCACCAATTTTATGCTTATTTATAGCGAATATCTGAATCGTCATATGAAATTTCGAAACTTTCAGAATGTGGCTAAAAAACACATATTTCTATCTACTTTCAATTATTAATATATATTAATATTAATATTAATATATGTATTATTATATAATATTATTAATTATTAATTATATAATATTATTATTATGTATATTAATTAATATTTACTATTATTTTTATCAATATGTACCAACTATACATAAGAAGATTATAGAAAAAAAACACATGATAGGTCAAATTTCTTATTTTCTAAAGGACAGCAGTTTTAAGACTCAATACTTTGTCTATCAGTTCCATATTACCAAAATTATTCCTATATTTGATTCCGAAGTTAAACGGATGCTTTTTCATTGTCAAAAAAATTTTCAAAATATTAAAGTATTGCCTGTCTTAATAATGTTACCTTTCATTTTTACAAAACTTAAACCTTGATTTATCAGTTTTTAAGAAATTAACGTATATATGTAGTATCGTGGACGAAAGGCCTAAGAGATATCGGACGAACTATAAACAATGTCGCGAGAAAACCGAACTGTCGACAGGCCTAACAATGTATCGTCGGTCCTCCAATCGAATAGTTTCACGGAAAAGGCTTGCGTGACCCTGGCCACGAGTGGTTGAGAAACACGTGCGTGGTGGGGCTAAGAATAAAGACAAAGGAATGCTAAGGGAGAAAGACGAATTAATAGTCAGAGTGTTAATTGAGAAGTCAAAGAGTGTGAATCGAGAAGTCAGAAAGTGCGAATTGCATTGTCGAGATAGTGTTGCTAGTGTTGTCGAGAGAGTAGTGACGAGAGTCGCAAATTAATTGTAACTGTCTAAATTATAATACGTTATTGTGACCAGTTTACGTTAAACAACCATCGTTTCCTGTTTAATCAACATCTATTTAATCCATTTATTATTAATAAACTAATTGTAGTAAAAATCCTACAAATCCAACAGATTATTTTCACGAATAATAAAGTGATTTTGAATTAAAAACTGTTCAATTTATTAGTACTTCGTTTGTTTCTATTGCTTTCTATTTTTTATAAAATAAATTAATTCATTTTTATAAGTGCCTCCTTTGTAAATAGGCTATGAATGTTGAAGTAAATTTATATGTGCAATGGAGCTTAAGTATCGTGGAGAAATAAACGACGACTTTATTCTAAATAGAATAAATAGAAAAGTTATGTTAAGATTGTGGAAAACCTCTACGAGTTTCTTTCAAATGTGAATTGAATTCACTCGTCATGCCAGGTGCACCTACGCGACTGCACTCCGTCGCGGAAAATAATTTACCGCTCTCGTGGTTACGTTCAAACGATATTAAATCGTTCGTCGATCGATGGTCGACCGACTGATTCAACGCTGAACGATTTGAACTTTAACCCTTCCGCTACGGGCAGCTTCTTCAC